CACACTTTGAAATATGGTCGATGTTCAGTAATTTATGAGATAGTGATCATCTAATTCAGATTTGTTTTTTCTTAAACTTACAGTGTACCGACAAACTAAATGAATTCAATATATTATCACCAGATTGCGACACGACATCTCCTAACTGCTTTGTAAGTAATATATCTTTCTCCATCTAGTGACCCTTGTAAAAGGGTTGGAAATGATCTGATGTGATAAAAAATATTGGTTAACCGAAAAATTAGAGAGAAAATCACATACTAAAAAAAAAATTATCCATTTGAAACGGAGTAACGGAAATGAAGATGTTGAACACCACTCCCCATAAGATACATATATCTTTATAAATTAATATATACGAAGTACGGCTCCTTCTAGCCTCGGAATTAGTCGGATCTCATGATCCGTTGACCCGAGAACTAGCTAGAGAAAAAAGTCCCGCAACATGATTCAAAGCTCATTGGAAAATGAACATTAGTAGCAATTCTTCCAAATTATATTTGTCAACAACAAAATATAGAAAAGTTTACACGACTAGTATAGTATGATGAAATTTTTGATCAAGCCAAGCAAAATTTGTTACCAAAAGTCTTTTTTTTTTTAAGTAAGAATTTAATAAAAAATGGATAAATCCATATGAAAGTGACGTATGAACATATGCTTATTTGTCTAAGACAACAAAAAAAATTGTCATTTTTATATTACTTCCAATTCCAAGAAACATATTTTTAAGGTTGCTTTTGCAGTTATATCCATATTATCTCCTTAGCTACTGGATCAACGACGAGACCGTTCGCAATGCTCTTCATGTTAATAAGGTATACGATTAAAATTTTTAAATCAAAATTATTGATAATGTATGATGATAATAAAGAAAAGAAACCTTAAAATCTAAAATATGGACGATTTATGATTACAGTGGAGTATTGGAGAATGGGAGCGATGTACTCATCTAAGACTTATCCCATACAACAAAGACATCAATAACAGCATACCATACCATATGAATAACAGTATTAGTGGCTACCGATCTCTCATCTACAGGTAAGAGTTTGATACCTAAATCTATTTTTTTAAGAACTACCTGATCAAAATATTCATAATCAAAGACATCGAGCCAAACCAAATTGAATCAAACCGAAATTGTTATTATTTCACTTTTGAAACCGAAAATATGAAACCAAAACTGGTTTAGTGAACTGAATAAACAAGAATTTATTAAAATTCAAAAAAAAAAAACAAGAATTTATTAAAATTCAAAAAAAAGAAAAGAATTTATTAAAATTGTAGGCACATCCATATTACGTATATACCAAATTAACTAAATTTTTTTGTTAAGTATCCAATAACCAAAGACATCGACTTTACCTAGGTGAATAGAAAACAAACCAGAGAGAAGTGAGTTTGTTTACCCTGTTCACTCCCAAAGAATAGCTACGTTTGGGCCGAGAATGTGACTCGAAATCTACTGGTTTCAAAACCGATATTACAATAGAAACTATAAGTTACCACTTTAATGACATTCATTAGCACTTAAAGCTTACTCTATCAGTTCCTATGTCTAGAGAAAACCAGAATCAATTTATGCTATTACAAGTTTTCTCTTTTCTCAGTGTAAACCTCAATTTTCTCACACTCACTCTGTAACCTTAAAGCACCTATTTATAACTAGACAAGTAGGACTTTCTTGTGCAAACGTAAGTCGCTTGTCCAAGACATGTTTTAACCCTTAATAAAGACCGCAAGTGCAAAGTACAAACGAAATAATATTTAGGGATCAAATCTACTGAGACGAAAGAAACACACAATACACTATATAGATTTAGATTTAGCTAGAACAAAATAAGAGTTATAGGAACTTGTGTAAGATTTTCAGAAATAAAATAATTAAAATAAAATAAATACTAAATAAATTATATACAAGAATATTGAATCTAGAGAAATCATCAGGGAGCTCAAATAAAAATAAGTAATTAATCATGAAAGCATTAAGATTCATTATTGAATTTGAATTACTTAGGTTTAGTTATCATGCTCTCGCAAGTTATTATTAACTACGAAAGATGTTTTCTAAAGAACTCAACTATTGTTTATTTTAAGATATTCTACCAAGCTTTAAGAAGTTAATTTAATAAACTCACAAAACACGATAATATCAACTTTTGGTAGGTTAAAGAAGGTTTACCTATCGAATGATAGATCCAACAATTCGTCACCACTTATGGTGGCTTGATGAATTCAATTATAGACATTAGTTAAATTGGCCTAATTCAACGAAAGAATTAAGAACAACCAATGATAGAGAACTAGAAGAACAATCCATAAATAAAATAACTAGATTACATCATCATGAAATGAAGCAAACCAAAGTACAAGTAAATTTTATTTGCTTGAGTTTCTCTCGAATATCGAAAAATCAAATTGAAACCAATACCTTAATCCATAGTGAGCATTCCTACCTACAAATTTTAAGAGATTATAATTTTTGCGCGGTTTATGGTGAACAGTGGTGATCATGATTTGACGGTTCCTTACCTCGCAACTCAAGCCTGGATAAAATCTCTAAATTACTCCATCATTCATGAATGGAGACCTTGGATGATTAAAGATCAAATCGCTGGGTATATTTATATTGTGTTTTAGGTTTCTCTTGTTCATTCATTTTTTCATCGTATCACAAGCTTATAAAACTCCCATAAAAGTCATTCATGCCTTTTCTTTTTCTTGACAGATACACAAGAACTTATTCCAATAAGATGACATTTGCTACTGTCAAAGCAAGTCTTCTTGTTTCAATTTAACATTTCTATTAGTAATTTCATTAAATCAAAAATATTAAATTTTTTAATTGTTTTGAGTGGTTTCATTATAGGGAAGTGGGCACACAGCAGAGTATAAACCAAACGAGACTTTTATTATGTTTCAAAGGTGGATTAATGGCCAACCTTTGTGATCGAGGGTCATGGCCTTTAAGTATACAATATAAAAAATATGTAACATGAAATGTTTGTATACAATTATCTACTATGTTCGACATGCTTGGGATGGAGATAGTAACCAATAAATGAGGTACTACTTAAGGCTTATCTTGGGTCTAGGGAGACTACATGCCAAAGACCTAGAACTTCCTGGTTAACTGATCTTTGCGTTTTAATCAATTAATATCCTAAGCGCACTAATGATCCTATTGATCTAGCACTTAGCCTCGAACCACAAGGAGCAATCAACTAACTCATCAAGAATACACAAATTCACAACTCACTAGTGCTATTTTTAGAAATTTATGTAATGTGTGTTATAATTATCTACAAAATATGTTTTAGTTTATTTTAGGATATTTCTCTAGTTTTTATGTTTGTTTATGGGAGCAATATCTTTGATGATTGAGGCCAAACTATCTCCCGGACCTTCCATTTACAATATACACGGACATGGTGATAGTAGTTGTCTGCATGAAACAGGTGTTAGAGTCGACACTGGTACCTTCTTTGCAACAAATGTGAGTTTTTCACTTTCTTGATATATTAGTTTGAATGTCTGATTAATTGTCGTGGCAGAGAAGAGGTATTGTTGATGGTGTGGATTTTGGAGCAACTGGTTTAGTGAAGAAGATAGATGTAGATCAGATCCGTGAGTGGCTTGATAGTTTTACCGTTTGGATATTAATATCGATCCAAACCCGATCCACCATATAACCCGTCCCGTGAAATTAAACAATATTTTTTATTTTTCTTTTAATCATATTTTTATTTAAAAGACATATAATTCGAGTCCATTTAAAAGTTTGCTATAAATGGTTCTCATAATATATATATATATATATATATATATATATATATATAATATTGTTATAGAGTTCAAATGTTATTAATATTATAAACTTCTTATAGAATTTAAATATTATAAATACTTTAAATGTTTTATAAAGTTTAAATATTTATAATAATTAAACTTCTCATAAATCTCATAAAGTTTAATTATTTATAATATTTGAAACTTCATAAAAGTTTTAATATTATAAATATTTAAATTTTTTAATAAGTTTAACTTTTTAAAAGTTTAAAATAATTCTAATATTTAACTTTTAATAAAGTTAAAATATTTGTAATACTTTAAAAAGTTTTAACAGTTTCAATTCTTTAAAACAAAGAACGGGAGTAAAGCGGATAACACTTTTAATTTTGGACGCCTGATAAATCAACCTTCCTGCATATTCGTATTGTAAAGCATTTTGGTCTTTTTTATAGTATTACTCTGAACCATTGCTCTATCTTTTAAGCAATGTGGGACATTGTACGTAAATATTTTTTTCTTTCATTGATTGAGTAATATATGTCCGTTTTTAAAAATTTGAGTCACATCATATACAGAAAAAATCTAATATTTTGTTAATTATATGTATTTTATATAAATTCAAAATATATTAAATATAAGATCAAATCAAAGTGAAAGAAGAATCATATATTTATGTTTAAATTAGGTAGAGAGATTTTAGGAAATTATAATGTAGTGAAAAAAAGATAAGATTTAAGTGAGAATTAAGGATATAAATCGTTTTTATTTTTGTTGAAATGTTAAATTGATTATCAACAAAAAAAATATTTACAAGAGTTTTGCAAAGTAGTACTAATAGAGCAATTTAAAACAACTCAGAATTTTAAATTGATATAATTAGTTTTACTAATTTCTTCAATTTTGTTTTGCAAATCTTAAGAATTTAAGACAATGACATTCCATTGTAAATAAGTGCCAACTCTAGGATTTATTTCCAAAAATCTTCCAAAAATATAAATATATATATATATAGATATTTAATATAATAAATTTAGAAAAATTAAAACTAATTAAAGATAGGAAAGAATGGGGAAAAAAATATGTGGTCCATCAAATTTATACTTTTTCTTCATCTCTAACTAACTTATAGGCATTTTTTATGGACTACATTTTCTTTTCATTGTTTATTTTATTTTTAGGAAACAAAATCTATATATAAAACAGTTAGATGATTCTTTAAAAATGTAAAGCATTCCATCAAAAAGAAGGAAAAAAGAACAAGTTAAAAGTGCAAATGGCTAAAGGTGTAAATGTCATCACTTATATGGTGATTTTCTTGATTTTGACAGGTACACATTATGATATGAATCTCGTTAAATTGTGATATATTATTTGTGTGTTTGATTTTCTGAATAGTGTGTATTCAAAGAGATTTAAACTTTTCTTACACAATGTAGTAGGAATATCAAGAGTAACAGCAAAGAAGCCACCATGTAAAGAAGGTCGAATCGCGTATCATCCTTGTAGTCAGAGTCTATGCGCACAAGACTGCGCGCTTGCTGGTGTTTATCGCACAGGCAAATGTGAACCTGATAGGAACAAAGTAGTTTGCAAATGTTACGGATGCAAATAGGTGTAGACTCGGTAGATCCTATGTGCAATAATATTATCTTCTTCTTTTTTGGGGCGGTATCAATAATAACAAAAAGAACTTTGTAGTGAGGTGCTTTTCGAATCCAATTATAAATTCCAAAATCCATCAATTTGTTGTTGACTAGATCCACCAATCTTTTGATCAAAAAAAAAAAAGAAAAAAAAAAAAAAGAACCACCAATCTTTTGTAATCACCTTTAAAACACTCAGCATTGCCATTAACAAAGCTTGAAATTTTTCTAGCTGAAAAACGCAACTCCCATCGTAATTATGCTTAATCTATATAGCTTTTGGGTTTTCCTATCTTGTTTTATTGCAATGTTATAGTTTTTATTTCCAATTTCACCCTATTAGAGAGTGTGTGTATATTGATCCGGTTTAATCTCGATTAAGTTACATAGATTAGATTTTCGGTTTACTTGGTTATATATATGTTAATATATTGTAAATTTGTTACTTTGGTTATATATATGTTGACTAGATCCACCAATCTTTTGATCAAAAAAAAAAAAAAAAAAAAGATCCACCAATCTTTTGTAATCACCTTTAAAACACTCAGCATTGCCATTAACAAAGCTTGAAATTTTTCTAGCTGAGAAACGCAACTCCCATCGTAATTATGCTTAATCTATATAGCTTTTGGGTTTTCCTATCTTGTTTTATTGCAATGTTATAGTTTTTTTTTTCCAATTTCACCCTATTAGAGAGTGTGTGTATATTGATCCGGTTTAATCTCGATTAAGTTACATAGATTAGATTTTCGGTTTACTTGGTTATATATATATATATATATATATTAATATATTGTAAATTTGTTACAATTAAGAAATAAGAAAGCATTTCACAACTCTCTTTGCTCATGAATTCTATCACACCCTTAAATTCTATTCCTTTTGGGATACCAATTTGTTCTTGCTATCCATCAGATTCATTTCAGTTATTGAGGTAAATTACCATTAAAATACCATATAATCTCATGAACTAGAGTTATTTTTTGAAATTTAAAGTGAGATGATTTTTTTCAGATAAGTTTTTTTGATATTCACTTCCCAAACATCTAGTCTTTTTTTTTTTTATCAGCAAAATAATTATCAGTAGCACAAAAGGATAAGCTACATGTTCTGGTCAAAAACACCATCTAGTCATGTAATCATATTTATTTCATTGATTTAATGTCTTTTTTTGGGAAATAAGACATTTAAGAAGGATATCACAACATTATATATGGAATGATGATTGAATATAATTTGGGATTTAACTTTAAAGTGCATGCCGTTTTGGAGGAGATCTTTGGGTGTAGATGTAATCGAGGTGTGCATCCGACGACGTTTTCATTAAACATTCCTCTGTTTCACACTTTGTCTCCATCTCCTACAAACAAAACAAAACAAATTTGTTAAATTCTACTTTATTTTCTTCTACTACTATAAAACTTAGATTTGTTAAACTAGTAAGAGTTTTATGCAATATTTTCAAAATTGTTTAGACGTAAACGCAAAACTAAAAGAATAAGTAGATCATAATTAACGTGTAACTTAATGATTCGTGTTAGTGTTGTTAGTGTGTCACCATTCGAACTTATACTGACATAATGTATGTTGTTGACAACAATAATTACTTAAAAGTGCGTATTGATTAAAATAAAAAAATTAAATATAATTAGGGAATAACTTTAGATGCATGTGGTATCGGAGGAGGATTTTGGGTATAGATGTAATCGAGGTGAGCATCTGATGTCGTTTTCATCAAACACTCCTCCGTTTCACAGTTCTTCTCCATTTCCTTCATACAATTAATTAAACGAAATTTTATTAACCAAACATATAGTTTTATAGAATATAATGCATTTAAATGGTCTCTTGAAGTAAACATTCAACAATTTGGTTTTGCTAAGAGAATGATTATTTTACCGTTGATTTGCTCTGTAGAGTCAAGTCGGGACGAGCCACTGAAGCAATAACCATGAAGCTAAGTAAAAGTGCTGCAAAGATAACTATGTTAATCTTTGACATATTCTCTTCTTCTTCAATAATCCTTTTTTCTCTCTTTTTTATTTGGTTTGGTTTGTAATATATAGAGTGTTGCAGAAGAAGTCAAATTGAAATTTATAAGGCAAAATTAGGTAAGATATTTGGAAAAAGATATTTTTCCTTTTATAGCTGCAAAAACTTTCAACTCTTTGATATTGCTGGATGCATATTTATATTTATTGGTAACTGAAATGTTTTTAATTTTGATCTATAAACTGGAAGAAACTATTGATATTTTAATGCATTTATGGTAAAACATCTAAATTTGTATTTTCTAATTGCATGGCTAAATTAAATTTTAGTTTTTATTTTTTAGTTTATAATGGAAAAAAGATACTCAGCTACACGAAGTATAACCGAATACATGGCTACACATGCCAAGTTTAAAAATGTACAACCAACTACACGAACTAAATATATTGCATGCCCACATATACCAACTATATGACGACATGTGGTCAACATCACAAACATCTTATTCTGGTATACTAATCATCGAAATCCGGCGTTGACCATCGTTGACCGGTATTGACCAACAAAAATATTCAATTTTTTTTATATTTTAATATTAAAAACAAAAACAAAAAATTATTCTATTAAATCTTTTATTGTATTGTATAATTAAAGAGGAAAACACATTCTATATAGTATATTCAACTTAAATAAATTTTGTATATATATTTAATAAATTGATTATTATAATTAGTTAGTTTTTTCAATTTCAAAACTAAAATAAAAGTGAAATAAAAATAATTAAGCGAATTCCTTATTTTTACATTGTCAATAAAAACATTAACTTATTATTTTATAAATGTTTTTGCTAAAATCAATATCGTTAGATTTTTTATTTGCTATATATTAAAAAAAAAAACAAATTACAACTTTTTTGTTATTTATCCGTTATTACGAAATTTTTTTTTAATAATTTTAATTATATAAATTAATAATATATTAAAGTTAGACTAAAGAGTATGTAAAATTTTCTATGTTTTTAACTATGTATTATGATTTTGATTTTAGCAAAAAAAACTTAATATTTTTTAAACATGCAAACTTTAGATTAAAGAGTCATATACTCAATTTTTATAAAAAAAAATAATAAAATTTATTTCATTTCACTTTTAGTTTAGTTTTGAAGTTAAAAAAATTAACTAATTATTAAAATCACTACCGGTCAATACTAAAAAAATTAACTAATTACTAAAAATTTTTTTGAATATTTTTGTTGGTCAATGCCGGTCAATACCGGTCAACAATGGTCAACGCCGGATTTCGTTGATTAGTGTACCGGAATAAATGTTCGTGATGTTAAGCACATGTCGTCATATAGTTGGTATATGTGGGCATGCAATACATTTAGTTAGTGAAGTTGGTTGTACATTTTTAAACTTGGCATGTGTAGCCATGTATTCCGTCATACTTCGTGTAGCTGAGTATCTTTTTTCCTTTTTATTACTCATAAGTCAATTTTTCCACGTCTCTCTTGTTGGTAACTCTTACCTTTAAATAAATTATGTTGATGGAGGATTCTGGGCCCGGGCCCAAAATCCCACTCCAGGCCTTCAGATCGACAAAGCGGGCCCATGAACCGACTTTAAAAGCCCGGCCCAATGAAAAGTTCGATCCAGTAGAGGCCCAAGCCTAGTAAAAATCAGGGCACCGACCATAGAGGCAAAATAGATATTTTGCATGGTACAGGGTACCCTACCCCTGTACCCTATAAATAGGAAAGTAGAATGATTGGAAAAGGGGATAACAGTTTTGACAGAAAGTTTCGTACAACCGTCAGAGAACTTTGCGGCTCGGTCTTTTGACTTAGCATTTCAGCTCGTCTACTTTTGGAGTCGTCGGCTCGTCATTATTAGGAGATTCTTCTTTCTTCCCTTGAGATCCCGAACTCGTATTTGTACTTGTGTGATTTGAGAATCAACAAATTAGGAGATAATTCGGGCTAAGACCGGGTAATTTTGTTAATTGATATATTTTGAAGTTAGTTAACATAGTTTTTGTTTGAAAACATTTCTTATTTTATGATAAAAACATGTGATGTTGTATTTAACATTTTTACCAAAACCTTATATATATGGTATCTGTTAACTTTTTAAGTGTGTATATATTGTAACTTTCTCCGTCTACATTCATTTTATTCGTGGTGAAGTTATATGTCCGTTTAATATATATATTTTTTGTTGTTAAAGGGTATGCCCGTTTAATTATGATTGGTAACTATAGCATAAGATTTAAAGTCGAAGCTGCAACCATGAACCATATATTAAAAGGTAGAAGACAGGGGAAGAGAAGAAGTTAGACATGTACCTTAAGTGAAGAAGTTAGATAGCTGGATCTTCGAGTTTTCTTCACCTGATTTGGTATCTAGGGCAATATTGTTCTCAATGAGATGGAAGATTGTAACAGTTTAATTTGGTGAGAAGCCTGGAATTTGGATGGTGTCAGCTTGTAGATAATTCACCTCTCGATAATCACATAATCTACATTTAGAATATATAGCCAAAAGACGATGGTATTAAGAAAACATCTTGACCTTAACGTATGTAGATATATCTCTAAGAAATTATGTAAATCATGAGAAGTAACACTGACTTTGTCCAAGTCGCTGGAGGAACTGAAGACCAATAATCCTTTTTCTTGGAATCTTCTTTTTTCTGGTAATAAGGGAACCTTTTATGATTGGGTAAAGAAGAATTACATGCATCATAAACTCATTCAAACACGCTGTTAAATGGAACACCCTCTCGATTTCTGCAAATAGTGTTTTCTCATATTCATCGTCATCTTCTTAGTCAACGTATACATAGCTTTATGAAACTAATCGTGTGAAGGAACCCATGGCACTCACAATTCACGTTAGCATATTTGACACCAACATCAATTCTTCTTTGCTTCTATCATAGTAGGACGTGACCTCATTTTCTATATTTTCTAGTTCCCTCATTTTCTCTTTTCTTTTTGCCACTTTTCTGGTCTTTTACTTGTTCCTCTAGAGTTTCCTTCCTATAATCGTCTATTCAGCCATAAATTTCACATAATGGTGAGTCTCTGCAACATAAATCCTCTTCTTTGGAATCCTAAGTTTCCAAGATTAGATGATGAGTTTATATAGATGTATGTAAAATAGGAAATTTCTCACTCTTTTGCGTTGAAATGATTATATGCAAGACCTACAACTGATCTCCGTTTCGCATGAATATATGAACTAACAATTCTTTCAAACAAAAATCCTATCACCGATTACCTAGCAACAAAAACCCAAATAAGTTAAATCATATTAGGTATGATTGGTCGATAGAAACTCACCATATATCAATGGATTCTAAGGTAATGTAAGCCACCACTGAAGACGTTGAAATTGTTCAACAGAGAAGAATCAGTTTTCATAATCATGTAAAGAAGACATACCGAGAATGATTCGTGGTTAATTTGAACCAGTTACATGAATTTCCGACTTGATAATGAAGCATCTCGTTGATGTGATTTATGATTTGGTCGTCGTAGAGTGAGAATGCATAGTGACGGTCGTAGGCCCTAGCTAGGTTAGTCCTTCCCAGCGATGTAAAAATTGCTTCTTCGTAACATCTGTCTCTTCTCTCTCTCTGATTCACATCGGTAGAATCAAGATATCAACCGGACAACAGCGATGTCAGGTTGGAGGGATGCCATCGGTTTCGATAGAAAGTAAATAAAATTGGAATTGAAAACCGTAGAGAACCAAAGGAAATCAATTTTTTTAACAATTGTTCAAAATTTAGCGATGAAAAACTTGAACTGTCACGCGAGAGATAGACAGAGGAGATGAATCATAAACCAAGAAGGGTGGCGTTTCAAATGACTCGAGAACACTTTGATTTCTTCGACGAAGCCTTTGACGTTTTGATAAGTGACAAAGTTTTTACACGTGGCATTTGAGAATTAGCCTTCACAACGCATGCATGCTTACATGGCATCATGAGAGAGTCTTTTAACAAAACTGATGTGGACATATTGAGAGGCCTCAATGAGGTTCTTTTATTAGTAAGAGATATTCTTAGTTGACTTTCATTAGCTATTTAATGTCAGAAATGCTTGTGACATAACTAAATTATTACATATGAAAATCTTCACCAAAAAAAAAAAAATATTACATATAAAAATTACTGATCCTTTGATATTTTGTGTATTTTCTTTGAAAATTAATTTGGTTTCTCTATCAAAACTTTGCCTTCCAACACAATATATAAAATAAAATTTTGCTTTCTAGAGAAAGCTTTGTTTTTTTTTTTTGTTTGTGTGTATGAACCTTGGAAAGACAACAAACTGCATGAACCTTTGGAAGGCTTGAACCTTTGGAAGGCTACAAATCAGATCATAGTTTGTTTTAGGTGACAATTGGTACCAAGAGATAGTGGTCTAAGCCAGATATCAATTCTCCTCAAGCACAGAATTATCTAATTATTTTCATTTGACCAGTCAAAATAATAATTTCATGTTTTAGATCTATTAGAAATTACGATGTATGAGCCATTCGATGACTATACTCACTTTCAAAAAATTAGTCGGGTGGTAAAAAGTGGATCATCGTTCGATTATAACCAAAAAAGGGGTAAAACTTTGTTCTCTTTGTATTAATTGCAAACGTTCTAGAAGTATTTTCCATTAAATAACAACAACTAATCTCTTATCAAAATGACACAAAGTAAGCCTTTTAAAGGCAATCTGAAAATATTAATGAGGGTAGAATTGTTTTTTTTTATATGAAGTTTGCCTTTTATGGACGTCCTTATATATTTTCCATATTATGAACTTTGTGAATGGAAAATATTTCTGTAACGCACCGACCACCATCTCTTTTAATGGGTCCCACGTTTTTTCCGGTCCGTGGGCCCACCATCTTCCGACGCTGGTTCGCTATGTCCGGAAAGCTTTAAAGACTTGTTATCGACTCTACAAATCACCACATGACTTTATCCTGTGTTTTTTCCTCCCTCACACAGTTCCGACAATCATTTCCCATAATGTCACATATCCTGAAATTGTTTCAGCTCAAGTATACTTAACTGTAGAGTTCTCTCAGGACAGTTGACCGAAAAGATAAATGCACTTTGGTGACATAAGTGGCCAATTCAATTCTTTTAAACCTCTCCGCATGCACCACCATATTCCTGAAAATGGGTGTTCCAATTCACCTCAATAACAGATCACAACATCCTCGTTGCGCACCAAGACCGTCACCCCCGACGGTGTGAGCCCTCTTGACT